CTCATCGGCTAACAGGGGTCACTGACACCTTCCTTTCTGTTCTGGGTATTTCCCAGACCATTGCAATCCTCTGGGCCCTCTCCGCCACTCCCCTTCACACCCCCAGGCTCTGTCCCTAGGCCTGACTCCCTGAACAGGTAAAGGTGCACATTTTGTTCCCTCCACCCAGAAGATAATGTCCTGTCCCTTCATCATCCCTCAGTTCCAGCAGCCTCCTTGTCCCTGTGGTCCCGGGACCTGACCCTTGCTGCCTCCCACTGCAGAGCCCTCAGTGCTGGCAGCCCTTCCCCCAGCGGCGGCAGTCCCAACCTCTACACTTGACCAATTGCCAGTGGGTGTGTCAGCTCTGAGGCCTCGTCCTGGCTCATTTTCAACTTTTTTTCTCTGAAGAGCTGGAGTTGGAGCCCAGGGCCTTGCACGAGATAGGCGAGTGTTCTCCCCTCTGAGCCTCGCCCAGGCCCTTTGGCTCCTTTCTAAGCCTGTGTCCACCAAGTCACTTACCTACATCTTTAAACGGAGGCCAAAGTTAACTGAGGTCAAAGTTAACCTAGCCAGTGAGGTTGTCTGTTCGCTTATTCATTCACTTATTTCCATGTAGACAGAACCCTACTAAACCAATTTTTTTTCAACTTTTTTTCAATTTTTTTTTTCACATTAGACATCCCTTAAAAAAAAAAAAAAAAGACCTGGGAGTCACAGGCCTTTAATTCCAACCCTTGGGAGGCAAAAGCAGGAGGAACTCAGAAAGTTCGAGGCCAGCCTGATCTACAGAGCAAGTTCCAGGACAGCTAGGGCTGTTACATAGAGAAACCCTGTCTCAAAAACAGAAATAAGCGGAAGGCAACAGCTGGGGGTGTGACCCGGTTGTAGACCATTGGCTTAGTGTGTGCTTAACCTTGGGTACCAGCCCTACCTGGAGATTCAAATTTAACTAGTTTTCATCAGTGTTAAGCTCAGAATCAGCTGAAATAGGCAAGTACCACAGACTTGGCCTTGGGGGTTCTCCAAGCGATGTGGCCTTTAGAACCAGTTGGTATTTAACAGGCTCATGGCGTGAGTGATTGAGGGCACAGTACAAGCTAAAGGGACTAAGATGTCTGAAGGCTTGGCCAGACAATTCTGCCCCAAAGAGATGGGGGAATTTGACACCTGTCTGCCATTATCCTCAGGTTATTTGGGGTGAACAATAGCTCCAAACTGACGTCCTGACCCGTGATAACATGATAAAACGACTGGGGATCCTGAAGGAAACAGGAATGCATACGTGAATGAATGAGCTCCCAGCCCAGGAGAGGAGGCGTGAGGCATTGTCTGAGATGGGAGCTACCACGTGCTGAGTGTGATGACCTCAGAAGAAGCTCTACCAACTGCATTCAACCTGAAAGAAAGGTCACAAAGGATGCCAGGACTTCGGCGAGGTAACCTCAGGAAAAACATGGCTGAGGAAGAAATGTTCAAGGAGGAGACGTCAGGTTGCCCCTTCCGGATGACCTTGTGGGGTCCTTCAATGTTGCTTTGCTCCCAGACACACCTGAGTACCACCCCGAGTCCCAGAAAGTTTGACGCAGGACCAGGAGACACCTCATTTGGTGTCTGAGTGCCACATCCTTGTGAAATACAAACACATTTTTATCTAGTAAGAGGCTGGTCGATACAGCAGCAAACATTTGCACAGTACTGTGGGACTGCCAAGCGGTTACACAATGATTATTCCCTCTGATTGTCACATATTTTGTGTGCTCAGAGAAACCCCTTGACCTGTTTTTACCTCACAGACGTGAGGCGGGGCTGTGCCACTTCCACGGCCTGGGGTCAGCGCAGAGGTGCAACTTGCTAGCAGTAGCTCTGGCACTTGTATAGGCCCAGGGCTAAGAGAAGCTCAGGGGCAAACTGCCCTTTACCCCAGAGAGCTATCCCCAAACTTGGATGCCCCAGGAGAGCTTGTGGCGCCTGAGGCCAGCTGCAGACCCGAATGGAAATCGCCAAGCACAGGGCCCAGAGATTTGTAGCAGTACAAGAACCATGTGTGGACCATATGACCAAGCAAGCTGGGAATGCTCAACTAGACAAGCCTTCAGTGAGACCAGACAGCTGGGCCTTGAGGCCTGGATCCAGGACCTCCAAGATGTGTTGCCAGGCTGCACATGGGGGTCCTTCCTGAACCAGAAAGAGGAAATGAAAGGAGGAGACCAGGTGCTAGGGGTGTCGGGATAGGCTGGCAGCCAGCGCCTGCTCTGATATGTTAATAGGCACCTCAGTTAGCCCTTTGTCCCCAGTTGGAGACCTAACACTTCCTGGTACTCAGGTTTGGGGTACCCTCCGAGGGAAGGAGCCTGTTTGTCTTCTTTCCTCTTGCACTTGAAAGTCCTGAGGCCCTACAGTTCCTACCAGTGATGGTCACTTCTAGACCATGATGCTCTCTGGGTCTCCACTATCAGGGCCAGTGTCTGCCTTCCTACTGTTGTTTGTCTTTCTGAGACTCCTTTCTCCGCACAGCAGAGCCCTCAGTGCATGGACTGTGCCAGGTGCAGACACGGCAAGCTTGCCAATCTCGGGGCCCTGGACCGGAGTTATGTCTCGGCCCAGTCACTGACCACCTGTTCTCCGGGCCTCTGCTTGGGCAGGGTTGATGTTCTAGGGACACTCTAGTAAGTACAGACCGATAGACAATAAATAATGAACACGATGCATTTTTAATATTCATGCAATAAAGATGCAGGGAGTTCATATTTATACAACAGAGATAATAAATAAAGTGTTGAGAAATAAATATTAACGATGGGAATTAGTTAAATTGTAAACACACATATTTATTACTTAGATAATAGCTATAATGTGTAAAGCTAATTTGTTTTGTTTCTGTCTCCCCCCAGTCCCACCCAATTCTGCGAGCCCCTGTTCCCCAATATGGTGCATGCTTTCCGTATCGAGCCGCGAGCTTGGAATAATGTCCTAGGAGTTAAAAACAGACACACACACAGAGACCTGGATCATTTGCCCAAAAGGTAAATGTCAACTTTATTCAGCAAAATTCCAGGTTTATATACTTAGGGGCCAAAGGACGAGAACCCCCTCCCACCGGGAGTGAGATCAAGGTGTTGGGCACCTGGCGCTGGATGGCAGAATCTGCCGGGCAGGGGGTGCCGAGCTAGCTGCAGTGACAGACATGGCAGGGGCCGCTGCGTACCATGCCAATAGAGGATAAGGCTCTCTGTGCTAATTCCCCTAGCCGGTGGAGCGAGCAGAGGAAATGGCAGGAAGCTAGACTGGTTGGGTAAACAGTCCTGCATAGCACCTCGAAGAGCCGGGAAAGGCCTGGGATCCAACACCCCCCCATTTATTTAGTGTGTATATGTGTGTATAGGCATATGTGTGTCATAGTGTGTGTAGAGGTCAGGAAACTGCTTAAGGATTTGGCACTCCCCTTTCACCACTATATTCTGGGGATTGAACTCAGGTTGTTAGGCTTGGTGGCAAGTGTCATTACCACTGAGCTATCTTGCTGATCCTTTTTGTTTGTTTTTGAGACAGGGTCCCATGTGTGCCAGGTTAACTTCAAATTTGCTATGTAGCTGAGGCTGACCTTAAACTTTTATTCCTCCTACTCCTATCTCTGAAGTGCTCAGATTACAGGACTGAGCTATCAAGTTTAGTTTATGTGTTTGTGTGGTGTTAGGGATAGAATTTGGGGCTTTGCTTTTCTGATCTTCAGCTTTAATCCCAATATCTGTGTCTGGGTTTTTATTATTTGTGCTACAGGGGCTCACAAATACTACAGGGGCTTTGGGGATGTACCTCAGTTGGTGGAATGCTTGGTAGAGAGATCTTACCTCTACCAAGGCTAAGACAAAAGGGAGATCCAGCAATGTGCTTCACCAACCTCAGACTCCACATCCAGAGTTCCCGTCTCTTCCCCTTTATATTCCTCTCTCTGCCCCACCATATTTCTCCTGTCTCCACCTCCCTAGTGCTGGGATTAAAGGCCTGTGATCCCAAGTGCTGGGACCACCTTTGTGTGAGCTCTGTTTTTCTTTTAGACAGATTCAAGCTTGTGTAGCCCAGGGTGGCCTTGAACTCATACAGGTCAATCTGCCTCTGTCTCCAGAGTCCTTGAATTAAAGTTGTGTGCCACCTTTACGGCTGACTAGAGTTGGCTGCTTTACCCTCTGATCTTCAGGCAAACTCTATTTATAATATAACATTCCATTATATTTCTCTTTTTTGTCTAAAATAAAAAGAAGGCTATAACTAATATGAAAAGTATATATAATATACACAATGACTATATTACAATATATTCATGCAATAAATACATCAACAATGTCTAGTCCATTTGCATTTGACAAATTCAGAGAAAAATACTTCATATCTATCCTATCTTGGTGAGTCCAAAGTCTTGTACCTAATTTACTTTCTATCATAAAGTTTTCTATCGCAGCACTTGGGAGGCAAAGACAGGTGGATCTCTATGAGTTCGAGGCCAGCCCAATCTACAGAGCAAATTCTAGGACAGGCTCCAAAGCTGCAGAGGAAACCCTGTCTTGAAAAGCCTAAGTAAATAAATAGATAAATAAAATAAAGTTTTCTGCATCTAGTAAACAAGGAAAGCCATAGCTATCTAGTCTTCAACTCCCTCAGAGACCCAAGAAGCAAATAATATTGACTGAGTAAGCAGGAAGTGTGAGCAAGCAACTTTCAAAAAATGTGAGAAATGACAGAAACAGCTGGCTGCCTGGACAGTCACCCAAAGTTCTTCTGCAATGGTGTGGCATCCACCTTCGGCCTACAGGTCTAGAATACTTGACAGACTTTCTGTGAAGCAGGATATTCAGAAGGGCTGTCCCACTTGGTCTTGATGATGTTTGGCAGTCACTCTCTTTTGTGTTCTGCTTTTTCAATTAGGACACCATACTGTCAGCAGTCAAGTAGGGGCATTTTCTTGCCCAGTGACTTACTTTTGTCACAAAGAAAGTAACTCCATGTGGAGTTTCTTAGATGCCCATCATCTTTTCTGAAGTAAACTGGTGCTGCCTGGAGCAGATGTGTCTCACTGTCATAAAAAAAATTAGCCTATTATATTAAAGCATCTTAAATGCCATATTCTATAGATCTCTGAAGTGTTTGAAGACAACCTGTCTATTTAAAATAGATCTCTATTTGACCTTGAAGTCATAATTAATGACTGACCACAAGTTCAATATAATAGGTGACGAATTACTAACCTCCATCTCAAATTTGTATTAATATATAAAATTTGCATACAATATACAAAAATCCAAAACAATATAAAACATTTAAAACTAATAGTTGCTTTTTAAAAGTAGATTCCATAATCTATCTTTTTATCTTTTATCTATAGCCTCCCTTTTTTCTTTTCAGAGTAGATTCAGTAATCTACTCTTTTATCCTATCTCTGTCCCCCCTTTTCTTTTCAAAACAAGAACCCTGAATCTAATTTCCTTTGTTTAGCTTTTTTCCTGACCATTACCAATAACAACTTGTATTCAACCCCCTTAAACAATGACAAGCCCACTGAATGACCAAAAACTACCCACCCCACCTCTTGGGAATGTAGGCATCATATTCTTAAATTTACTTCCTGCTGTCTGGTCTGGGTGACAGTATTTTTAGTGGATCCTGTGAAAAGAAAAATTTGGGTTAATTATTAAGTCCTGGGAGAGGTAGCTGTATCATTTGTTGTCTAGTCTCTGACTAATGGGAAAATGTAGGACTTGTCCTGGCTAGAGTAGTCTATTAGACTGGATCATCTCAGCTAGCTACCTCAAAATTATTCTGAGCAGTTTGTAGTATAAAAACTAATCCTTAGGTGGTATTTTTCAGCTTACTGGAGTTATCATAGTCCTGGAGGAATCACTGTTATTGTGGGCCCATCCTCCTTATGGAGACTTCAAAGGTCACTGTGAGGCGTGCTCATGGTTCACTGCAGAAAACTGATAGAGAAAGGCTGGAGAGATGGCTCAGAGGTTAAGAGCATTGCCTGCTCTTCCAAAGGTCCTGAGTTCAATTCCCAGCAACCACATGGTGGCTCACAACCATCTGTAATGAGGTCTGGTGCCCCTTCTGGCCTGCAGGCATACACATAGATAGAATATTGTATACATGATAAATAAATAAATATTAAAAAAAAGAAAACTGATAGAGACTCAATCAGAAATCATGTACATGAAAAAAGATCAAATTTTTATAGAATTAGTTATTTTATATGACCATAAATATCAGGAAAAAATGTTCAATATATATGTCTCTCTCTATATATATATCTTTTTGTTTTGTTTTGATTTGGTTTGGTTTTGTTTTTTCGAGACAGGGTTTCTCTGTAGCTTTGGTGCCTGTCCTGGAACTCACTTCTGTAGACCAGGCTGGCCTTGTACTCACAGAGATTCACCTGCCTCTGCCTCCTGAGTGCTGGGATTAAAGGTGTGAGCCACCATGACCCGGCACATGTCTATATTTAAATTTTATATATATTATAAAATTTAAACATTAAGAAAAGCTGTTAAAGAGTCAATATAAAACCAAAGGATTATAAGATTAGTGGCAATGTGGGAGGGTGTTGGGAGGAGGGGCAGAAATGGAAACTTTCATAATTTAATAAACTTTGAAAAAAAAAGAAAAGATTAGTGGCAATAAAATAGTACTCAAATATTTGTTTTTCTTCTGTCCCATATCAGGTGGCTTTTCTGACATGAGACAGAGATTTTGGATTTTATTTTAATAAGCATGCTTGGGTTTAGAGAAGAAGAGACCCACAATCCAACTCTTAATCTTTAATCTTAAATCAGCTTTAATTTTTAATTGGACTGGGACTACTAAAAGACTATTTGCATTATATGTCTGTAGAGAATAGCAGAAATAAACATTTGGGAAGATTTATGGAATTTTATCCTGTTGGAAATGTGACATACCAATAGGCCAATTTACTCTTTTTCTTGAGATATTGTTTTCCTGAATGATTTGTCCTTTTTTTTCAGATGTCTCATTTCTTCAGTGGTCTTCAGGTTCCTTAGCTGGATTCCTTTATTCTCCTTAAAAGACAAAAACAAAACCCTTCCCCAACCCTAATTTTGGGGAGAGTTTCTTTTGACAAGTTTTATCTGTTCAAATAAAAATCATTTGTTAGTTTTATACTTTATTTTAGATTAAACGATCATGCTTTTTGATGAACTATCATCTCTTCTAATTAAGAGGTATCTCTTGTTCAAATAGAATCTTTATCAATTTTGATGGTATCAAAAGCTTTTTTCTCCCATGGAAACAAAAGCAAAACCCCTTCCCCAACATACCATATGTCTTGGTTTCCATTCTGAGATCAGTACATCTTTAACGCCTTTCTACTGATTTAATTCTGTAGTTTTTTTTCTACTATCCAATGTTACTCTGTAGCTGTTGTTCCTTTCTTATTAGCATTTAGAAAATTAAAGTTAATAAAGCATTGTCATCAATTTCTGGGGGTATTTATCATTCCTTTCTGTTTATTTAACACATCCTTGAGAGTTTGATTTGATCTTTCTATAACTGTTGGCCTGTAGGATTGTTTGGTATACCTGTAATATGCTTGATATTATCATAAGCAAAAAAACTGTTTCATTTTCTTAGAGACATACACTGGAACGTTGTCTGTCTTTATTTGTACAGGTATACCCATCATGGTTATAACTTTTAGCAATTGTGTGATTACTGAATCAGCCTATTCCAAACTCAAAGCAGTTGCCCATTGAAAACCTGAATAGGTATCAATGATGTGGTATTAATATTTTAATTTTCCAAGTTTTATAAAATGGAGGACATCCATCTGCCAGACTTTGATGTGAGATTCCCCTCTGTATGCTATGAATATGTCTTATTACCATTGGTTAATACAGAAGCTGCTTTGGCCTATGGCAGGGCAGAATATAGGTAGGCAGCGAAACTAAACTGAATGCAGGGAGACAGAAGGTGGAGTCAGACAGATGCCATGTAACTGTACAGGGTTGTAATTAATATAGTTTTGAGTTATTATTCAGGTCTGGGCAGCCAGGAAACAAAATCTCTCTCTCTGTTTACAATATTTCATTCCATTTGAGTTCTTCCTGCAGGTAGTGGTGTTTGGTTGTATAAAGAACAAGTAGGACATTTCTTTATAATTTCCTTGCCTTGTTGTCATGTGATGAAAAAGTCTTTTTTTAAACCTTTGTTAGTGGCATGATTTTTTTTTTTATATGAAATTCTGAGGCCTTCAGCACCTTTCTAACCATAAGTGATCAATTTCTGTATTACCTTGTGCCAGAGGACCTGGCAGACCTGTATGGAATTGGATGTGTGTTATGTATATGGAAAGATGCCAATTCCTGATTATATCTTGAACTGAATAAATAATGAGGTCAATATTTGTATAAATTCAGCAGTTTTAATATGCAAAACCACTGTTTGTGCATATTGTGAACTGGTAACTATGTTGAGAGGTTCTTTAAAAATCCCTTAGTACCATGAGAATATCATATAATTCTGACTTTTGGACAGACTCACAAGGGCTTTGATCCACTTTACTTAAATTTTCTGATTTGTAACCTGCCTTTCCTGATTCATTTAGATCAGTATAGAATGTAGGGGCTCCAGTTATTGGTGTGTCCCCTACAATGTGAGGAAGGATCCAGTTAGTTCTCTTTATAAATTGAATTTTCTTGCTTTTGGGATAGTTGTTAATCTCTCCCCAAAAATATTACTACAAGCTCTTTGCCAGGGTTCAATTTCTTCTCATTTGTCAATTCCATCATTATTAAAAGGTACTATAATTTTTGCTGGGTCTATTCCTGCTCATTGATGAAGTCTCAATTTTACTTTTAGGATTAACTCAGAGGCCTTTTCCACATAAGTTTTTAATTTTTTATTTGGTTTATGTGGTAAAAAGATCCATTCAAAGATATCTTTCCTTGGGGGCTGGAGAGATGGCTCAGTGGTTAAGAGCATTGCCTGCTCTTCCAAAGGTCCTGAGTTCAATTCCTGGCAACCACATGGTGACTCACAACCATCTGTAATGAGGTTTGGTGCCCTCTTCTGGCCTGCAGGCATACACACAGACAGAATATTGTATACATAATAAGTAAATAAATAAATATTTTTAAAAAAGATATCTTTCCTCTGTCTTAAAATTCCTGTAGGGGAATGTTTGGAGGGTAATATGATCAGAATACAGTTAAGATTCAGATCCACACGATCCACAGGTGCCTTCTGTAATTTCTCTTCAAACAAAGCCAATTTTCTCTCAGCTTCAGCTGATAATTCCCTGGGACTATTTATGTCCTTTTTACCGTCTAAGATTTTGTTTAAACTAATGAGGTCATCAGAACCTATCCCAATAGTGTGTCATAGATGGGAAATGTCTCCTACCAATCTTTAGAAATCCTTAAGAGTCTGTAATTGATCTCTCCTAATTTGTACCTTTTGAGGTCTAATTTTTGTAAACCTATTTTATAGTCTAAATAATTAATAGAATCTCCTCTTTGTTTTTTTTTTTCAGGAGCAATTTGTAATCCCCAACAAGGCAAAATTTTCTTTACTTTGAACATTCTAAAGTATCTACATTTGAATCAGATAGTAAAAAAAAAGTCATCCATGAAATGGTAAACTATAGATTCAGGAAATTGTTTATATATCATTTCCAATAGCTGACTTACAAAATAATGGCATAGGGAGGGACTATTTAACATTCCCTGTATGAGAATCCTTCATTGACATCTTTTAGCAGGCTGAGAATTATAAGTAAGCACTGTGAAGGCAAATTTTCTCCGTCTTTTGCTTTGTAAAGGTACAGGGAAGAAACATTCTTTAAATCAATAACTATAAGAGGCAATCCTTCAGAAAATAGAGAAGGCAGAGGAATACCAGACTGTAGAGAGTCTATTGGCTGAATCACTTTATTAACAGTTCTTAGATCTGTTATCATTTTCCATTTTCCAGGTTTCTTTTTAACAACAAATACAGGAGAATTCCAGGGGCTGGTTGATTCTTCAATATGCCGAGCATTTATTTGCTCCTGTCGCAGATGCTCTACAGCATGCAGTTTCTCTGTTGTTAAAGGTTTGTCTGTCAACCATCTAGATAGGGTTGTTGGTGCCTCTGAAATATCAGCTGCTGTTGTACCCTGTTCTTTTACAACCTGAATGGTCAGTAATTATTGTCATGGCTGAATTAGTTTTTCAAAGAACTAATACCAATATTTCTCAAATTATTTCACACATTAGAAACAGAAGGAAGATTGCCAAACTCTTTTTATGAGGCTACAATACCCAAACCACAGAAAGACATTACTAAGATAGAGAATTACAGACCAATCTCACTCATGAACATTGATACAAAAATACTAAATAAAATACAGGCAAATCGAATCCAAGAACACATCAGAACCATCATCCACCATGATCAAGTCAGCTTCATCCCATTGATGCAGGGATGATTCAACATACAAAAATCTGCCAGCGTAATCCACCATATAAACAAACTGAAAAATAAAAACCACATGATCATCTCATTAGATGCCGAAAAAGCTTTTGACAAAATACAACATACCTTCATGATAAAGGTCTTGGAGAGAGCAGGGATACAAGGAACATACCTAAACATAATAAAGACAATTATGTACAGCAAGCCAACAGCCAACATCAAACTAAATGGAGAGAAACTCCCAGCGATCCCACTGAAATCAGAAACAAGACAAGGTTGTCTAATCTCTCCATATCTATTCAATATAGTTCTTGAGGTCCTAGCTAGAGTAATAAGACACCGAAAGGAGATCAAGGGGATACAAATTGGAAAAGAAGAAGTCAAACACTCAGTGTTTACTGATGATATGATAGTGTACATAAGCGATCCCAAAAATTCTACCAAGGAACTTCTAAAACTCATAAACACTTTCAGTAATGTAGCAGGATACAAGATTAACTCCAAAAAAAAAAATCAGTAGCCCTCCTGTACACAAGATGATAAAAGGGCTGGGGAAGAAACCGGAGAAACATCACCCTTCACAACAGCCACAAATAGCATAAAATATCTCAGAGTAACTCTAACCAAACAAGTGGAAGACTTGTGTGACAAGAACTTTAAATCTTTGAAGAAAGAAATTGAAGAAGACACCAGAAAGTGGAAAGATCTCCCGTGCTCTTGGGTAGGTAGAATTAACATAGTGAAAATGGCAATCTTACCAAAAGCAATCTACAGATTCAATGTAATGCCCATCAAAATCTCAGCAAAATTCTTCACAGACCTTGAAAGAACGGTACTCAACTTCATAAAATATAAAACCCAGGATAGCCAAAACAATTCTGTACAATAAAATAATTTCTGGAGGCATCACAATCCCTGACTTCAAACTCTACTACAGAGCTACAGTACTGAAAACAGCCTGGTATTGGCATAAAAACAGACAGGAGGACCAATGGAACCAAATTGAAGACCTGGATATTAATCCACATACCTTTGAACACCTGATTTTTGACAAAGAAGCAAAAAAAATATCAAATGGATATTAACAAATGGTGCTGGCATAACTGGATATCAACATGTAGATAAAAAACATGTAGAATAAAAATAGACCTGTATCTATCACCATGCACAAAACTCAAGTCCAAATGGATCAAAGACCTCAACATAAAGTCAGCCACACTGAACCTTATAGAAGAGAAAGTGGGAAGTACACTTGAACGCATTGGCACAGGAGACCACTTCCTAAATAGAACCCCAGTAGCACAGACACTGAGAGAAACAATTAATAAATGGGACCTCCTGAAACCGAAAAGCTTCTGTAAAGCAAAGAACACGGTCAACAAGACAAAACGACAGCCTACAGAATGGGAAAAGATCTTCACTAACCCCACATCAGACAGAGGTCTGATCTCTAAAATATACAAAGATCTCAAGAAATTGGTCATCTTACAGAGCCTCTAGAATTTGGCAATTCCTGTAGGTTAATGGATATATTAAGGTTGGTTGTTTGAATACTCTAGACTGTTCCTCTCTATTCTTATAATGTAACTAAAATTGGTTCTTCATTAAATTCCTCTGTCTGGATTTGAATATCTCTGTGATCTATTTTATTAAGTTTTTCTAAGGTCTGTATCTTAGCACTCTGCTTAACCAATTTTTAATGATAAACCAAAAATGATAAAGTTGATAATATTTACAACTGACATTTCCTAAGTCCCATCTAAATTAGTTATCCTTGCATCCAATTGTTCCATTTTCAAACAGAGACACAAATCCCTCCAATGTAATGGTGTTTCCTTTTTTTTTTTTTAATGTGGAGGGGAAAAAACTCTCTCTTTTAACCAATTCCTCCCTTTAAGAATTCTCAATTGTCTTACCAAATCTGTTGACAATGTTGATAAAGATGTGAGGTTCATTGCTGCTGTGCAGAACAGTAAAGTCCTGACTGGATTGCAAGGCTGCTACCTAGTTTGGCAGCAGTCCAGGAAGAGGGTTCAGGGAGAGCCCTCTGGGAGAGAAAAAATAAAAACCTGGCGGGTAGGGAAGTAACTCTGGCTGCACATAGCTCCAGCCTGTGGCAGTGGCTGTATAGACAAAAGGCTTTTTCATGAATTTGTACCCCAAACGTTGGGCGCCAAATGTAGCAGTAGTAAAAACCCAGAGACAGATATTGGGGTTCAAGCTGAAGATCAGAAAAGCAAATCAGCCAACCACTAGAGAGATCTTACCTCTACCAAGGCTCAGAAAAACAAAGGGGCGATCCTGCAAGCTCACGAAGATCCACGAAGTTCAGACTCCAGAACACTCTAGAGTTCCTCTCTCTGCCCCACCATGTAATTCCTAGTGCTGGTATGAAATGCATGTGACCTCCATATCTCCACCTCCCCAGTGCTGGTATTAAAGGCATGTGATCCCAAGTGTTGGGATCACCTTTGTGTGAGCTCTGTTTCTCTTTTAGACAGACTCAATCTTGTATAGCCCAGGGTGGCCTTGAACTCACAGAGTTCAGGCTGCCTCTGTCTCCAGAGTCCTGGGAATTAAAGGTGTGCATCACCACCCCCTGTATGACTGACTAATATGGCTGCTTTACCCTCTGATCGTCAGGCAAGACTTATTTATTAAAACACAAATAATATACTACTACACGCTCCCCCCTCACCTTCTTTAAGAGTTGAGTCTTTTGTAGCCCAGGCTTACTTCAAGCCCAGCGTGTAGCCAAGGATGACTTTTAACCTTCATCCTTCTGCCTCCATCTCCCGAGTCTAAGTGTTGTGATTATAGGTGTGTGCCACCAAGTCACCTTGGCAGAGTGCTTTTAAACAACAAAGATGGGTTACTAGGGCCTGCTGCTTCGAGCCTGCATCTCTAGGAGGACCTTCTGTCCTTGCTGAGGTGTGAGCACCTTTTATCTGTAAAATGGACCCCACATTCGAATGTTTTTTAAAGTCCCTGTATATTCTAGATCTTCTAACCGTTGAAGTTGCATGGTTGCTATGACCTCGGCTATCTTACCTTGTTCCCGGTCCTGCTGGTGTTATCTGGAGGCTGCATGTGTCTGCACTCAAAGCCCTGTGGGATGGCTGCTGACATGTCATTTACACCCGAGGCAATGGAGCTTTCTGAAGCCTGAGTGGCTCACGCAGCTGCAGAGCGATGGGGAGGACGTGAGTGAGCCAGGGTTGCTGTGTTCCCCTGGGACAAGGAGATAACGTATTTTCTCCTCCCCTGCCGCTGCACCATGGGCACAGCTCTTCCAAGTCTCTGGGTCTCCCAGTACTGCCTCTTGCTGTCACTGGACAGAAGAGCTCCTGCCAGACAAAAGTCACACAAGGAGTTGGCAGCCGAGGTGACAGTTCTGCTTCACCTATTATTTTCCTAGACTGAGCACCGAGCCCTTAGTTGGGGACAGTTGGGGACTCCACCATCTAAGCCCAGGTAGCTGCCACCCTTAGCACCTGCCGGAGTTTGAAGTCTCTTTGATAGAAGAGAACAGCTAACCCTGTGTCTCATGTTTTAGACAGGCCTGAATCGTTAAGGGAAAGTCTCCAGAGGAAAGCATGGAGCTTTTGTTTGGCGCTTTTCCAAACCTATATTGGAGGACCAACTGATGTCTCTCAGAGGACACAAACACTTGGAGATGGATGGCTTACCTTCTGACCTCATAGTGCACTTCGATACATTTTATATCTTGGAATAAAAAAAAAACAAATAAAAAAAGGACAAAAAACCAAAACCCACCAACCAAACAAACAAAAAATGCCAACCAGAATAATGGATGGTGATTTTTGAATGAAGATATTTTCCCACAGGGCCAGTTATGAAAAAAATGAATGTAAGTTAACTAAATTAAACCAGTGTATCACAGCCTAAGCCCAAATCTTCAGAGATTTAATAAGAGAAAGAGGTCAGGACCCCTTTAAGTGGAAAGTGAAGGGCATGAAGCCACAAGCATAAATAGGCTCAACAAATAATTACTCGTGTACGTGGAAGGCTGAGGGGGTTCTTCAGGACATGGACTGAACTGCTGATGGTAATTTCTGTCTTACTTATATTTATCTGAAATACAAATGTATTGGTAAGAACATCTGAATTTCCTAATCAGAAGATGAGGGACTTGGGAGGAGTGCTGTGTGAGCGTTCTGAGCTAATGTTTTTCTCCAGGCTGCCTGTTCTCCATCCCTCATCCCTATTCTTTTTTCTCTGTAAGTGAATCTGGGAAGCTTTGTCAGAGTGTAGTGTGTGTGTGTGTGTGTGTGTGTGTGTGTGTATATGTATGTGTGTGTGTGTGTGTATGTGTGTGTGTGTGTATGTGTGTGTATGTGTGTGTGTGTGTATGTCTGAGGTGGGAGTCACAGCCTCAGTCCCACTCACCATTTCCTCTACCAGGAATACCATCCTCCCTCAAGGAAGAGCCAGCTCAGATGCCACGTCCTCTGTCTGTCCTCGGCTGGAACACCCATTATCCACCCTCGACACTTCCTGAAGCTCAACTTGTCTGTTCACTTCTGGCTTCCAGTTCCACCTCCATTTTGCTTTTTGCCTTATTTGCCTTTTCTGAGGCTCAGCTGTAATGCAAACGAACGCCACACGAGGGCACCAGAGCCACGCGAGTAACTTCCACCCAGTCAGCCTTCTGGGGAAACTGTCTCCTAAGCAGGAGGCCATAGGGCCCTGGGTGGCCTAATGGCCAAGAGGGAGAGAATGAGGAAAACAACCAGCTGACATGCCAGAGGACTCCTCTAATCCCACCCCAGCTCCCTAGAACGGGACTGACCAAGGAGATCCTCCAAGCTGTTTGCTCAAGAATCCTGGAGCATCCACTTGCCGTGTGGCTTTGATCAAGCCTCTGCCTCTCTGGTTCTCTATTTCCCTCCATCCACAGCTTCCTCAAGGACGATGTTCCTCGCTCTTCTCAGCTACCCCTACTGGTCTGCATCTATTTCATGCTCCATGTTGCCATGTGTGCGCGTGAGCACACACGCGTGCACACACACACCCCAAAAACAAAAACCTCCAGACAAAGGAGTCAACACGGTGAGGCACTTTCTCTCCCCTTAGGACTTCCTGGTTACAGATCAGCGACACTTGGATCCTGGCTCAGCCCGAGAACATTTTCTACCTCCAAGCCCCTGTGCCAGGGTTTGCCCTTTCCAGACCAGAATTTCCTCTGTTAGTTTGGGGACTAACATTGTGCCAGGAGGGAGGGAGGAAAGGCGGTGGGAAAAAGAGAGAGAGAAAAGTTCTAAGTGGTGTTTTTTTTGTTTTTTTTTTTTTGGTAACAGGGAAGGCTATGCCCTTGAGCAGGAAAAGCTGGTGGGTTGGTGGGTTCTTCCCCTGGTAGGGCCCTCTGTGTCGCTCTGTGATGGGGGAGCTTCCTTGCTTCAAAAGATTCCAGGCTGCAGGATGATCATCGTGACCATGGTGTCAGGGCAAACAACAGAGACCGTAAGTGGCTCAGCAGTTTCCTAGCATGCTCAAAGCCCTAGGTGCGCTCCATTCAAGCCATGCTGCATGTGTGCGTGCACACACACAACTTCCAATGAAGTCCTAGGAGACCCTGGAGTATTGCTATGACACCAGGCTGATGGACCTGTCCAAGTCTCCTGATGACCCCAACACTAGACACCTCTACCTGTGTGAACAGCTTTTGCTTCATCTCCAAAGCCCACCCTGTCCTGACTGCTGCCAAGCAGAACTAGTCACCCACTTTCCCTGCCGTGGAACCCCGTTATGGCTTGCAGTGTCATGAGTAATTTCACAGTCTCCCCTCTCCTTACCCACTCCACTGGAAACCTCCTGAGGCCAGAGGGGGGATCCACTTACCTCAGTATCCACCAGCAAGTACTGTGTCTGCCGAGCCAATTAATTTGTTTCCATTTAAGAAGCTCATTAGGGAGCTTCCTCATTCTGAGGGAGCTGCAAAGTTCCTCTCTCTTGGAACTGCCCCTCTGAGGGATGCTGGAGCTCAGATACCTGGAGCCCATGGCAGTATCTGAGAGAAATTAAACATGGAACTTGGGGCACAGGGTGTTTGAGAACAGGGCACTTGTGCAAAGGGACAGAGCACATTCCAGTTGGAAGGGAACCATCAGGGTCTCAAAGGTGCCTCTGAGATTTGAACATATCGTCTCAGGAAGTGTAAGGAGCTGATGTGACAGTCTGTACTGAATCACCCCTTCCCCTGGCCCTCCAGGGGCATCCATGGGTCAATTCCAAAAGGCAACCTGATTGTCCCAGTGTTTCTGATGAGCTGTCCCCAGGGCCATTGAGTGCACTTCTCCTTCCCAGACCCTCGGTCAGGTGACACCAAGATACCTAAGTGTCTTCACAGTCCAAATCTTTGCCCCCTGACCACTGCTGTAGCAGAACCTGAGGGTGGGTATCCTGGTCACCAAAGGCCAGCAGCCAGAGTTGCCCAGATGGCTTAAAGACTCGGGCCTTCTGCAATTTCCCTACAAAGGGCTGCTCAGGGAGTCTCTCCAGAATATGCTGGAGGGCCCTTCCCACCAGGAAAGTTTTCTTTCTTCCTGTGGATGCAATCTCGCTTGGCTGAGCTGCTGAAGGGGCCCTTGACTCCTCAGGGCTCAAGGACGAGCTGCTGAAGCGGCTGGGACATTGTGACCAATAATGAAGGCAGCGGAAAAGAAAGAAAGAAACCCAGTCCCGTGGCTCTGAGCAGGCGGCCCGGCCGTGACTAGGGGTTTGTGCTTTCAGACAAAAAGCTGGAGAGATAGTGTTAGCAACAGCTTCTCTCCTCCTCAGAGAACTACAGCACATCCCCCACCCCACTAATTGGCAGATTAAAAAAAGAAAAAAAAAGAAAAACCCAAAATGAAAACCAAATCAACGCCAGTACCCTGAATGTGAAGGTTCTGGAATGGAAAAGCCCTTTCAATTGTTAGATGTCCAAGAAAACATGAACACACGCTGACAGAGGAAACCAGCCACAGTCAGAGGAAGAGGGAGGGGTTCATAAAATAGGGGAAAATTCCTTTTAGCATCTCCCATCCTGTAGGCTGGCTCCTTTGTGTGCCCCGGTTCCTAAGGAGAGTGGGAGCCTGGGCCTGGGGGAAACTTCAGGAAGATGAAGACTGCCTTGCAGGGAGGCCAGGAGTCCCTTAAAGGAGCAAAGGCAGAAGGTACAGATGCCCTTGGATTGTGTCAGTAGTATTCACAGGGCCTTTGTTTGGGGACACCCCTCCTGGCACTTCAGGAAATGCCCTGGAGGTCTGACTCCAGTCTCCAGCAGGTCTCCCTGGGGTGTCAGGCCCTGGCCTCACTCTTCTTCCTCTTCCTCCTCCATGAGGGAATACAGGTCACTTTAGGCACTCCCTCACCACTTTCCCTGAAGGACAGTAAAGGAAAGGGTGACAGCTGTGGAGGCCAGCCTCCCAGTACAGGCGACAACGCATGAGGGTGGGGGTAGAGTGGGGAGGGGCACTGAACTGACAAAGGGACCAGGAAGATGACACAGAAGGTGGGCCGTACATGGAAGGAGATGCCAAGGAAATGGCTTGGCTTCAAGCTGCTGAAATCAATGGCAGCTACCCAAAGGTGGCTTTTAGCTCTGTTCTGCCCCAACCTGACAGGCAGCTTTGGCAGGTCTAGACCTGCCTCAGGTCTCTGAACACTGGGCCTGAATCTGTCCAAGGTAGTGGTGATAACCAAAACTGGAGATGACCAAACTATCACCGGCAAATATTCTAATTCACATGTGCTGGGGGACAGTGGTCATCAAGCTTCTAGTTCATTCCGTCCACCCAGGCGGCTAGCACAGGAATTTGGAAGAGGTTCTGGAACCCTGCTGGTCAGTCAAGGACAGCCACGCCTCTCACGCTGCCCTCGGACACAGCAGAGGCAGGCGTGCCGGTTCATTTCCATCAACACCTTGACAGAAGTCAGAATCAGGAGACACTGCTCCGGACATGTCTGTGGGCATGCTTCCTGGCCAAGAATTAGAAAAGGGGGAAGGTGGTGGAGATGGGAGGGTTTGAAGGGAAGGAGGGGAAAATGATAGTCTCAAAAAATAAAAAATAAAAGAAGATGGTGGCACTATTCCGTGTCTGAGGTCCCAGCAGGAACGCGAGGCCACGTGAGCAAGAGCATCCACACTCTTGCCACCCTCGACTGCGAGGTTTCCTGTGTCGTCTCGTGTCTATACCGTCACAGCGAGACAGGTCTCTAAGTACGTACAGCTACAGAGGTACTTCTAGCCATGTGGTGACCAAGCACGTTCCATGTCCCTTGAAATAGCTGGAGTTTTAAGGTGACAGTGAGGCCATTCAGAGCTGATGGCAGCACCAGCCTACTGGGTTGCTCACGAGCTGTGTGATCTTAGGAGGTTAGCCCCAGCCTGTCTTTTCCCCACGTTAAACACTTCCAGGGGTCAGTGTGACTGGCTGATAATGGGAAGAAAGCCCTCAGTAGACTGGAGTGAACCTGAGGGTTTTGCTCAGATTTGCCATCAGCTACCATGGGTAGGACAGGAGCCTGATAGCTTGGTCAACTTTGAGGCTACAGACTCAGCACAGGGTCTGGCTCACATCTCAACACAATGACGCATTCCTCTGGCCACGCACCGAGGTCCTGTTCTCAAAGCGGTCACTCAGGTACCCGGAAAGTTACCAAGCCCTGCTAGGAGCATGCCGCTCTCCTCCACAGGGTCTGCCATGCCAGCAAGCCCAGTCCAGGAAACACATCTTGCTTGGGAATTAAAACCAGCAGGCTCTGCAGAGACCCTCAGGGATATACTTTTTAAAACAAATTAAAAAAGGGCTAGTAATATATATTAAATGACTATTTTATTTACACACCCTATTCATAAATAATTGTATCCTTTTCGACTGCACAATAGCTCCTTGACATCTAACGATTACAGAGTGTACATCTAGAAGTAGATGGGGGCTTACTCTGGTTTATGACATGGTCTCTGGTGTTTACACTCAATATGCACACCCAGAGACTCAGACATGCACCAGAGGGGTGGCTCCCAGGGCTTCCTGGGCTCCCAGCACCAATGGGAAAACCTCGTCCATACACAGGTGAGTTCGTGACAGCTGGAGAACAAAGAGATGCAGGCCAGGGCTCGGCCCCGCCCACCGCTGGGCCCCGCCCACCACTGGAGCAGCTCCACCTTTGTTTACCCTGGAAGGCATCTCTTTGGATTGCAAATATTTTAATTCACAGAAACTCAAGGAGGGGGTGGGGCACGGGTTGGGGTGGTGCGGCAGCAGGCTGTCCCTCTTCATCCAGGCCTTCTCCGACCCTGTAAGTGACAACAGCATTCTAAGACATGCAGTGGTGTGCCAGGACCATACACACGACACACTGGACACCGATGGCAACACAGGATCAGGCTTGGTCACAGAGCAGGGTGAGGCTGGTCTTTTCACAGAGTCCGCACAGCCACTGGGTAGAGCAGGGACAAGTGCTCCGCCCCTTTGATGGGCAGCTTCCTGGTGGTGTAGTAGTGGATGACTTCTGGGACACTGTCGAAAGGGGGGCTGTTCTGACCCAGAACATACTTCTCTTTGGTCTTGGCCAGTTTCATGTGCATAAAGCCCTGGTTGCTCCTGCAAAGGAAACACGGATGTCAGAAGTGTGCGGTATCTGAGGGGGGAGGCACTCTCAGGGAGCCACTGGCTCCTGCTTCTGTATGTGCATGTTCTCTCCAGGGGCTACCTTTGAGCATGGGGTCAGGAGTCTAGGACAAGGGGTCCCAGCCACACCCAGGAGCACCCTCCACTCCAGCATCTAATTGGGGTACAAGGGTTAACCACTACTTATGGAAAGACTTTGTATCTGGAAGGTTCTAGGGATTGGGGGTTTTACCCAGCCCTTCTGCAGGGACCTGTTTAAACTCTGCAGTTATACGCGATGTCTCAGGAAAGGGATACCTCATTCAGGAACTACACTTCCTAGGGCAGTTAGCCACCTGACAGGCTATATAGCCAATGGAATGTGGGAGGGTTTGCTTTCTACCCAGCAGTCTCCCAGGCTCCCAAGGCGGAGTTCCTTCCTTCACATCAGTGGCCTGAAGACAGTGCAGACTCTACCTGCACTTGACTTTCTGAGCTGTGGTAATACATGCCCCACTCCAATACTTAGTTTCCCAAGATCATCTGAGGAGCAGGGCCAGGTCTCTGTGCCCACTCTCCTTGTTTCAAATCTGACCAGAACAACTTAAATAAACCAAAGGAGAGGCAGTAGCAGGCTCCGACCATGTGTCCTGGTCCATCACAGTCTGGCAGTGGGTACAGGTCATGGAGGAAGAAGACCACTGCCTCAACTGCTGGCATTGTGTCCCAGAAGACCTCTCCCATTGGAGGTCATGCTCTTGCTCACACAAGCCTCCACCACCCTGCCGCCCCTGTGCAGGCTGCATGCCACTTCCTGTTCATTCACCCAAACCTGACCTGTGCCCACTCCTGTGCAACTTGTTAGAAACCTAAGGTTTCTGATTGGGAGTGTGCTACCATCTCAGGGCTCACCCCTATAACTCGTCAACAGCCCTAGGGATCCAGCAGCCAGGGCTATCTAAGGAAGCCAAGAGTCCCATGTGGGCTCTGGGGGCTGTGGCCTTCCTGAGCCCCAGTTCCCTTTCTGGTTTCTAAGTTCCAATGTGGTCCTTAAACATGACCTGTCCTCTGGGTGAAATGGGCCCCCCAAAACCTATGTTCTCCAAATGGGTAGAAGGAATGTCTAATGACATGCAGGCACTGAGCAATCCATCTGCGCATAATAATGTATTTAGAGATGTCACCCTGGGCTTAAAGGAAATCGTTCAGAGAGCAATTACATTTCGAGAGAGAATAATTCTTGTGAAGAACTGAAATTTAAATTGAGAGTTTTAAGGGTGTGATGTTCTAATTACAGATCCTGTGGCAAGCTCTACTCCCAAGTGAAGGGTCACTACACCTGAATCACCTCGGAGCTAGAGAGGTGCTGTGTGGAGCGCTGGCTCCGACACCTGGGAAGGCAAGCATGTCACACACAATACAAAGTGCAGTGTGGCCAAGGACTCGTGCCCCCAGCATGATGTACAGCCCACAAACACCAGCCAGCTTGGAAAGGACCTGGAGCTACAGTGAGGTGATTTACCGTTGTCCCAGAGCCCAGCTCAGCCTGCCTGGTGTACAAGGGTGCCAGGAGTGGCTATAATTCGTCACGATCGTGGGGGTGCGGGGGGGTGTGCGCGCCCCTGGGGGGGGGGGAGTGTGCTGAAGTCGTGGAAACCAAGCCACCTAGCTCTGAGATCCTTCCACAGTCAGACCTAAAGGAGCAGGGGCTGACGTCACAGTTTCCACTGTATGTCAAGGGGTCAGAGCAGAGCAAGGAAGTCATAAGGCTGGCATTAATACGAGATTTCCACACTAGATTCTTGTGTCCTCTAGCAGGCAGTGGGTGGAGGAAGTTATGCCTCTATTTCAAGGCAGTGGCCAGTGGAAGGGCCCCTGCACTTCCTATGCACACAGGGGACTTGAGGTCACAGCAATCAGCAGCAAGGCCCACTTCTCTCTGGGGAGCCTGTCCCAGATCCTTGGTGCTCCCTTAGGCAGGGTGGCAGGAGCAGCAGGAGGGCCTAAGCAGATATCCTCTCCATGCAGAGCCTCCATGACCCTGGTGCGAACCTCACCAGGCAATGGCAGATCAGAGACCAGAGGGTGGGGAGGAAGACCATACATAAAACTGTCCCAGGAACCAGGACTGGCCTATTCCAACCTGTGAAGCTCCAGGTCATGAAGACAGGTGACCCTACCCTAAGAGGTTCTTGGATCTTCAGTCACGTCAAAGGTCATGTGACACTGTGTGCATGCATGCACACACTTAAGTATGGGATGGTATCACAGCCTGGTTGGTTATAAGAGATTTAAAAATGCCAGGTGGTGGTGGCGCACACCTGTAAAACTGGCACTCGGGAGGTAGAGGTAGGCAGATCTCTGTGAGTTCGAGGTCACAAGAGCTAGTTCCAGGACAGCTAGGACTGTTATACAGAGAAACTGTCTCAAAACAAAACAAAACCCAACCAAACAAACGAGGGGTGGCTTTAACCACTTGTAACACTGCATGAACAGACAGCAGCAGGTGTGGTGGCTCATTTTTTTTAGTCTTCTTGACATAACCTGGAACCACCACGCAGGTTCTCTGCTTCTGACTGTGGATGTGGTGTATGTGATCCGCTGTCTCTGATTTCTGTCTGACACTCCCTAATGAGGAACCTGGACCTGTAGATCAGCCTTCCTCTCCGAGCTGCTTGTGTTCTGGCGTCTTCTCTTCAGGATCCCACTGTGTAACCTCGGCCGGCTTTGAGCTTGCTATGCAGACAAGCAGGACCTCAAACTCAGAGATCTCTGCCTGTCTTTGCCTTCCTAGTGGGGGGGATCAAAGGTGTGTACCAACAAACCCAGCCTGGGTAGGGCATTACCACAGCAACAGAAAAGGAACTGTAATAGAAAGGAAGCCGGGCAAACTTCTGTGGGGACCAGAGAGTGGATTAGATCAAGGGTATGCACAGGGAGGCTGTGGCTGCTCACAGCGAGATGGTTTAGTGAGAAGTAGCCTGTGGCCACTGTACCCTCCTCACCCCTTTGATACCCTGGAGGAAACAGGCCAGAGAGGCGCCCAGCAAGGGGGCTTCAGATGCCATGAGAATTCTGTGCTGACATGTCTAGGGCCAGAGGGGTGGGCTCCAGGCAGATCCTGCTCCTACCCTCCTCAAGGCACAGTGCAAGGATGGCACCTTTCCCAGGGAGCTCTGACAGGCTCCTGCCAACTGTTTCTTTGTTGGTTCTGTTTCCTTTGATAGGACATCTTGTGAGAGCGAGTCACAATTAAGGGTGTTTCTGGTGGGCGACCTGTCTAATGAGTCTTGTAAGGCCCATAGAGGCAGGGTGCTTGGGTTGTCAGGGCACTTAGATCGCTCATTACCATCACAAAAAGCACCTCCTTGTCACTGTCCCCAGGATTAGCAAGCATGCCTGGCGTGTGCTGGCCTAATAACAGGCCCCACCTCGCCTCCTAATCATGAGCTTTAATAAAACATCACTCAGCCCACAGCTGCCCGCCGCTGAGTCAGGGTGTGGGGCCTCACCTCTCGCTTTTAGACCTAATTGCTTGATGCATATTTCATGAAGAATCCTGGGTAATAGTTATGTTAAATCGTTTCTTTTCATGATGAAATGACTTAAAAACACTTGCATATAATATTTATGTGGGAGAAAGGAGGAAATAGCCCTGGGACTAGCACGGTAGGACCAGCCACAGGAGTCCAGAGCGTTTCTGCTCTGCCCTGACTTTCTTGAGTCAAGTGCTTGAATTCTTTTTTAGCTCTGGATCATCATACATGGTTCCCAATGTCAATTCAAAATTCAAGATACTAGTCCTTAAACCTTACTAGACTCAGAGCTAAGCTTACATATCTAGCATCACTTGCAGATGGAGACACTGAGGCTCAGAAAAAATGGGGCCAGGATTTGGATCTGAATCCTTCCTTTCTCTCTTCCTCTAAGAAACAAAGCCCAGGCTGCCCTCAAACTTGCTATGTAGTCAAGGATGACTTTGGGCTCCCAATCCTCCTGCCAACTCTCAAGTGGCAGAATTAGATGTCTTCAACCATACCCGGTCTCAAACCTACATCTCTTGGACTCAGCGGCCTGAGAGCCTTTTTCAACCTGGCACTCAGGACCTGCAGCGACCACTGGGACCTCATCATCTCTGACCAGTTGCCAGCCGGATGGGTCCAGGTGGGTGTTGTGAGACTCACAGTTGGCTACCCTATCTGCTCACTGTGATGCTTCCCAGATGAACTAACTCTAGCCTGCAGCCAAGGCTCTCCAGGAATTCTACCCTTTCTCCACTGGCTGAGTAGTCAGGGTCTGCCTAGAGCAGGGATCTGAGGCCCTCTGACTCCTCCCCAGCTGCACGCTCTGGAGGGCAGGCTGGAGAGTGAGGTTTAGGGATAGGGGTGGGGTGGGGCTGTCAGAAGAAGTCCGGTGGGGTGGGTACAAAGATCCATAGCTCTCAAAGCATGTCATTTTCTCCAGGGGTCAGACTTCTTCGTTGGAGTTCAAAACTCAGGTCTGGGATCCCTGAGCTGGCCACTGCCCTTTGCATGGGCTCACATGCATACGCAAAACCCACAAATACAAGACCAGTCTCTTCCCATGTTTTGTTTTCCTGAAGGGTGCAGTCACGCACTTTAAATGCATTCAACAACGGAGGAAGATGGAGAGTTCACAGCCCCTGTCCTCCACAACAGAGAAAGGACTAAGCTTCGAGGCCTGAGAGGACAGGTTTGGTATCCTGCTCTAAAGACAAGCCTCTGGGATGTTAGGAGACAGACTGGCTTGGAAGGTAACCATGGCCTAGTACCTCCACGGCCACACAGCGACAGCCCCTGGTATAACCCCACCTCTTGGCCAGTTTTACAACTCAGACCTCTAGTCCCCTCCCACCCTTCCAGACATGGTCTTGCTGTGAGCCCAGGCTGGCTTTCTGCTTCCAAAAGGACTTGAGTTTTTATGAAGGGAAACCCACGTATCTCCACCTACTCTGACTTTGAGGGACATGGTGC